AAAAAATGACCTAAAAAATTAAAAACGTCAAAAAATGCAAAAATATGCAAAATAAAAGTTTCATAGATGTATTCGTTATTACATAATTCAAATTATGTACTCATACAAAGCTATGTTTTACAATCACCAAAAAAAAATGCACTTTCCTATGAATTAGCCCTACTAATGATAGTGTTACATTAAGATCTGCGGTTACTGCGTAGTCACTAGGAACTGATCAGGGTTTTTTAAGTGCATTTGCTGTGAGTTGTAGGTATTAAAAAATGTGATACAAAGCGGTGTCTTTGCAGAAGAAAAAAAAGCACTGTGCAATTCTAAATGTCACAATTTTGAATTTATTGCATGTGCAAATAAATAATTGATTAAATTTAAAATAAATAAAATCTTATAATATATTTTAAACTTTGATGTATTCTTTATATTTTAACGTTTATCTAACTAAAATTGTTTAGAATAACTAGATATTCTATGAAATAACTAGTTAGAGTATAATTTCCATGTATGATTTCATACTTTAAATTAATATTCGTAGGCAATTCATGAACTACCTAGTTATTTCATAAAATAACGGAAGTCAACACTTTAACTATAACAATAAAATATTACGTAGGTACCAGCAATGACACATCTCGTACATCGTGTTGCTTAACATTTTTTAAATTTTTTTTATGTCCCGTAGAACGTCCATACCATACAATCATAATAATATATTGTACTTAGGGTTATGAGTGTGAAATATTGACAGTTGTAAATTTTTTTCGTACTTTTGTGACAGTTCGAAATTAATGTGTATTATCTTTTAAGACTTATTGTTCAAACATATTTTAGCAGGTAAAAGTAATAATATAATCAGGAAATTTGAAATTATTATTAACCTTACGTACGTAATATAATTTTCAAACAGCATTATAAATTATTATTAATATCAAACAAGAAATTATTATGGACTATGGTTGCACTTATACGAAAGCAGAAGGTTCATACTGACTTAAGGCATACAGAAAAGTCCCATCATAAAACCACAACAGTTTAAGTAGGTACCTAATATTTTACTTTTAAGTAAATAATTACAAATTATAATAGTCGAAGGTAGGTACATTTTTTACTTTTGTTAATGTTGTAGTGTATATATGTATACTTAGAATAATTTGAGATGCCATAAATAATAATTACAAAAGTTTAAAATAATATATTTCTTTGTTTATGGTAATTTAATTTTGTATCACCGCTTTTCTTCTTTTGTTTAGGTATTTAAAATTTAGCTGTAGTTACTTCTTTTCACTAATACCGTGACATTAAATATGATTAACTTTTTATTATTCGTTTGTGTTACATGCATAACATTATAATATATTATGTATACATTTTTTTAGTCTGAAAAATGGTACCTATTATATAATATAGTTTAATGTCAATTGTGTTCTACCATTGACTACAGTTTGTGTTGACATTTGAGTTATGCATGAAACTGATAATTTTTTTTTTTCATTTACATATATTATATTTAACATATTAAAATATATTTGTAAACAATTAGTAGTTAGTTTTTAGTGTTTTTACTATAATTTTAATATAAATACTGATATTCAAAGGTGCTAAGTCAATTTATAAAAATTAACCTGAGTTTTATATATGTATGTATTTAGGCGTTTATTTTTTAATAGGATAATAATAGGAAGGTTGGCTGCAACTTGTTTGYGCACAATCTATAATTCTTACTTGAAAAATCGGAACTTGTTCGCGCAAAAACGGTTATATTAAAATATGTTCACTGGTTAGCGCACACAAAAACAATTATATTATTTTATCTCGGTTACAGATGGGCATTGATAAACATCTACGGAAATGTAGACCAAATTAAACATATAAAAATAATGAGAAACTGTCATTACGGAAAATAATCGTATATTATCCTAAACGTATACCAATCATATTACATTAAAATTAAAATTAACACGCATTTTTAWCTTGAACGAGTATTAAATATTATTTATTAATAATTATTAATACGCAAGTATTAACATGCATTTTTAACCACATCTACCTATACATTAATAGACAGTCCTAAGTATGCTAAGGGAGAAGGAAATAATGTAAGTACCTACTTTCATAATTTACTTATTATTAAACAAATATTAATATGCAAGGTATCAAACTATTAAAGTCTTAAAAGTAACTTTGCGAAAACCATGTGTATAGTTACGGCTCAACTGTTCCAAAACGAGTGATAGTTTTGTGCCCAATCAAGTAAGTTGTCTTCTTGGTATTTGTGCACAAACTAGTAGGTACCGCTCGTAGGGTTATGAATTATAAAATTAATTCAAAGTTAACAATGTGCAATTTTAATTTTTTTCAGAATAACTTAATATATTTTATTTAAATTGTATCCTATTATGTACTTACTAAGTTTATCTTCTTATTACATATTACCTTTGTGGTTGTTTTCTCCGTTTAGTAATTAGTAATATATTTAGTGTAGATCGATGTTCTAATTTACATAATAGTAGTCGTGGAATTTTACTAGCTATTAAAAATAATTTAAATTACAAACTATTAGACACTGTCACCAGACTCAATATTGATCTGGTATTTGTTATGTTAAATTATAACAATATTAATCTCCTTTTCACGTGTGTTTATATTCCTCTAAATTCTCATCTTGATCTTTATAAAAAACGCTGCGAGATTGTTGAAAATCCCGTTATTAATTTCTCTATTGATAATATATTAACTGTAGAGGATTTTAACTTAAATACATTTTCTTCCTCAGGCTATTCTTTATATTTACTAACACCTCATCTCACTGCGCTATGAACTCTTGTATAAACCACCTAAATTTAAACCAAGTTAATAATGTCAAAAATTGTCATGATAGTATTTTGGATTTAWTTTTTTTGAGGATTAATATTGATTCCATATTTAGTAGTTATTTACTTACACCCTTAATCGATTCTTATCCCCCCCCTTATCTATTCACTCGAAGTATCTGAAATTTTAGATAAGTTCAATAGTTCAGAATTATTTGATTATTATTATTATATTATTATTTGACTCCTGTAACTTTATGGAAATTATTGCATTTTTAGAAAGTATTGATATTCAGTCTATTATAATAAATTCAGATGTTTAAAATGCTATGTTCTATGATATCTTAAATCATATTTTGTAATTTATTTGTAGCGAAAACAAAATTAAATCTTAAATTTAACTACTCTTTGCCATGGTTTAATTATGATTTAAGAAATTTAATTAAAGAAAAAAAACTTGTACATAAATAGTATAAAATCACAAATCTACACTCTGATTATTTACATTTTTTCTAATTTACTAAAAAAATATAAGCAATTATATCAAGAAATTCGCTCAAACTATATATTAAAAATTGAARATAATATTAATATTAATACCAAATCATTTTGGAAATATATTCAATCTTTAAGAAAAAAAATAGGTGATTCCTTTTCTAATAATTTCAACGATGTTACAAAATTTTTCTCTTTTATTTATTCTAAAAATAATGCATTTTACAATTTGAATCATATCTCCAATATAATTGGCCATGAATTTAATCTTAATTTAAATTTTATATCTATATCTGAAGTATGATATAATTGAATATCTTACATCACTTAATGAAAAATCAAGTATTGGTTCTGAATATTTACCTTCAATTTTGTTGAAAAATATGTCCTTTTGTCCTTGCTAAATTTCTAAATAACATATTTAATTTATCTTTTATCACTTCTATTAATAAATTCAGCGATAAAAATAATGTAAGGAATTATCGATCGATTGCCAAATTCTCGATTCTTCCCAAGATGTTTAAGGCTATTACCTATATAAAAAAAATATATCAAATTTGCTAACCAATTATATTAGCCCAGCGTACCATGGATTTTTAGTTAAGCAACCAATTTTTAATAACTTAATTAATTGATAACCTCATTAAATGAAAGTTACCAAGTTGATTCTATTTACACTGACTTTGAAAAAGCATTCGATTAGTAAATTATTTATTATTATACCATAAATTATAATTGTTTGGAATAGGAGGAAATTTCCTTAAATGGTTATTMTTTTTTCTTATTTATAGAATTCAAACTTTTAAAATATCTTTTTTATTTATTCTGATTATCCTGTATTATAAGGTGTCCTCCAAGTTTCTCACTTTGGACCTTTATTATTATTGATATTTATAAATGATCTGCCTCTGTCACTAGATCTATTAATATACTTTTATTTGAGATTAGCACATCCGTCTCGGCTCCACCCAAGCGTGAGTGTGAGCAACCACAGTTAGAAGTAGGTTGCAAATAAATCTAGAATACGCAGAAATTATTCGAATTTTTTTATGTGTATTTTATATTCTAAGCAAAWAAAAGTTCACCTTTTAACAAAAAAATTAAATTTACAAAATGTCTGTATACACAATATTTTTTGTTTTATACGTCGTCGGCAGTAAAATTAATTGAATCACAACATTTCCGGTTCWGGAGAGAGTATGGTTGACCATGCGAATAACCATTTTCACGCAGATCAACTTTTACACATGTAAATGTCTGCTCTTGCGATTTATTGATGGTAGCTGCGAAAGAAACTCTAACTGGAAATTGCATTCTTTTGAACTCGATCGTCAAGTCTGAAGGAATCAAAGGAATTCTTGGAATAAAAGCAAGCTCCYCGGCGGCTGGACCCGTAAGAATTGTAGCTTCGATCACATTATTACACGAAGCCGTATCTTGCAACCGCGTTCCGTTGCACAATCTGGGAAGGTTAAGATTTCGAAACAGCATAATCGGAGTCACTATTTTCAATCGAAACTTGTACCGTGGAAATCCAGGGGATTTAATGAGTTAAGAAATTCGGTTGGAAAATTTGTTACTCAGCAGCCGGCACTGAGTCTAAAGCAAGATATTCTTTCAATATGCCCTGAAACATCTCTAAAATTGAGTCATTCAATTCATCAGCGGAACTGTTTAGTGGCGTGAAATAGCTCTTTCGCTGAGCCAAGTATTTGGAGTAAGTTTAGGATGTCAGGTTATATGCTTGATATTAAAGTCTCAACCGATCTCACAATTTTTCCGACTTAAGTATCTATGGCGATGTATCCATCTTCATTCCGATAGGTACCATAACCGATTTTCAAAAGTAGCGCTGAAAAGGCAGAGTTATTGCCTCCAAGGTGCGCTTTCAAATAATATAATAATATTTTTATTTTTTTATAAATTTCTATTTTTAGATTATATTTTTTAGAAAACTTATATAACTTATTAAATAACTAATTCCATAGGTTCTAACATTTTAATATAAGCGAAACATTATATACCAAAGAACTCGAGTGGGTTTTGCTAACTAAACAGACACGCTAGTACAGTATATAACAATATTAGTACCTAATATAATATATTATAAACCTACGATAATAAAGTTGTTGAAATAACATAATACGGAATGTATTTTACTTCTCGGAACAATTATTCATATATACTCACCGATGAAACACACACAAAAGAAAAAAGGTCATAGGTAGCTGGAAACCCGTGGGCCGCCGTGCAGCACAATATGTATAATAATATATATAGGTAAACAATTTATACGTTTATTTTAATTAATAATAACTAATTATTTATTCACTTTATTGGACTAAATTTATGCCTAAAATCTTTTATGTGATGTCCTCTTTAATTTAAAAAAAAAAATGCACGACGATTGAATAAGTAGTTTCTGAGTTTATCACGAACATACAAACAAACATTAACATTTCATATATTAGTATATAAGTATAGATATAGATAATGCAAAAATATTTTATAAAATCAGATCGGTCGATGATATCAATATATTTTACAAAGCTAATTTAAGTAATTTTTCTCTTTGGAGCGAATATAATATGATTATTAAAGTGAGGAAACGCTTCATTAAAATGTATGTGTGGAGTGTGGCATTATATGGCTGCGAAACATAGATTCGGAATAAGGCAGAGCAACGAACACTCGAAAGCTTTGAAATGTGGTGTTGGAGAAGGATACTGAGAGTGAGTTGGATAGAACACCGTACCAACGAAAGCATACTCAGTGAAATAGATGAAGGCMGAAAGATACTCAAAACAGTCAAAACCATCAGAGCAAAACGGTGTAACATGATTATTCACATATTGAGGCACGAAAATCAGCTAATCTACAGAATAATAGAAGGTAAAAGAGGCCAAAGACGTCCAAGAACTTCATTTATCAAACAAATMATTCCGATGCTAAAYTATCAAGCTACGCTGAACTGAAGAAGTTAGCCGAGAAAAGGGAAGAGTGTGGAGCGCAGGTCCAATTGCAAAACCAACCTTAAGGGTTGAATACTAAAAGAAGAAAGAAGATACATTTAAAATATTGATTAAAGTGAATTTTAAAGAATAAAGTGGGTATGTTATTATTAGGTATTACATATTTTTACTGTAATATTTATACACCATACTGAATATTATATTCAGTAGAGCTCATTATCTTTTTGAAGAATAAATAAATTTAAAAAAAATAAATTATCTACACATCTTCACCCAAGTGGATACTTTTTATTCATTTTCATTTTACCAATTTGTATAGAAATACTAAATACCTTCTTTTTGATTATCACGTTCGTCTAAGAAACGTATCTATATTCTATACGTTATATCATATCAATTTGTTTTTTTCAAACCATCATTGGTTATATTTTTAAAATCCTTCTAATTAAAGTTCCCGTTTAGTCAATTCGTAGCCATTTCTCTAGTGTTTCATTGTTTCGTTTTTTTATCGGTGTATCTATGATTGTCAGTGTACTAGAATTAGATAAAGGTGTCTACTATTGTGTTAGATATTAGTCTGTTGTATTGTTATTTTTCCATCAGGTGTTTTCTTCACTTAATTCTGTTCTAAATRCTAGGAAGCCGTCTTTATCACCAAGATACCTACCAGAGTTAATACAATTCTAGACCAATTCAATACAAGTCAGTTAAGATCCTGTAAGCTATTCTTATATAGCAATTATAGACCCGAGAAGAATAATATCATCTTCGTCCTGGGGATACTAAACATATAAAATACTAATTGTTTGTATTTTTAACAGATTGATTTCAATTGAATGTATGTATCTTAAAATGGAAGTAAATAAATAAYGTAGTCAATTTAATTTTACAAACAAATAGTAGGCAACCTGATCATAGTGATTTATTGATCTCTCGGTTGCAATGTTAAATGAGATAAAAGATAAACTTTTAATTTGTAACATTATACAGTTTTTTTATTTAGATAAATATTTAAGAAAATCATATTTATTTAAATAAAAGGGAATCATCTTTTTTTAAATTATTATTGTATCATATTATATTCATTTGACTGTAAAATGTTTGTGAATATAATTTTAAATTACTAAAATGTATATATTTCACTTAGGTATTTAAATGTATAATCATAGGTATGGCTCTCGTGGCTTGTGCTGTGCTTAACGCTCAGTATTATTTAATTAAAAAAATATTACTTAAGTATCAATACATAGTATTACCTATTTTATGTTTAGTTACTTTTTCAAGATTTTTTATGAACAATGTTATTGATAATCTCAATTAATATAATAAATGCATTTAGATAGATAAGATTTAAAGGCTGCTTTTTTTGTGTTTATATTATTATACAGCATCTTTAATAGTTCAAAATTATTAATTAATTACTACTTTTGCTATTTATCGATCAAACATCAAAATTTGAGTGAATTCACTATTTATTAAAGGATAAAATGAGAGTTGAGTATGCTTGGAAAGTCATGCTGTTTAAATAAATATTGTATTCTCAGTTATTTATAATTATCATGTAAAGTTAACTTTAAATTTCATTTAAATTGTAATCAATGATTATTATGAGGCCAAGATTATTTTATGAATATTCGAAGTAGTTTAACTGCATTCATTAGTTTGACTAGTATTTATGTCTAAATTTGTTTAATGGACTTAATTTGATTGYAAAATTCTTTGAAAATCAACAATGCAGTTTGCGATTTGCGAATATTAAAGAAGATGGTGACAAATATTATTCAGTGAATAGTAATAGTTATCGTCTTATATCTCTCTTTTTTTTTTTGCAAAATTCTTCGTAATAGCTTTAAAAATTTGATTTTAATCTATTTTTTACAGGTCAAGTCTTCGAGAGTAATAAATTTTGTCAATATATCAACTAACCAATTAGGTTTGATTAAAAAATAGTAGGTAGGTCCTCCGAATCTGATTATGAATACATGATAAAAATTGATTTACAGAGCTTTAGTAACAAATTCGTTAGGGAGATAAACATGAAAATTCTCTATCATAGAATGAATTGTGAAATGGTATTTTTGATTTATTAGTCAGTGGTTAGTAAGACATTATCAGATAAATCAAGTTAACCAATGGGTGTGTTAACTTGATCATTTAATGGTACGAACCTCGTTATTGCAGAGGTTGAAATGGTATTTATATGACAATCTAAGTGCTTAGGAAAGTTCTATAATAATTAGTGATTAAATAAATTATCAAAAATATAACCTTGAGTTAAACTCTTGGGATATGACTGAAATACTAATGAAAATACATTGAAAAGGATTGTTTTTTTTTTTTTTTGAGATTCATGAAACAAACTTGTTAGGAATAAATTTTTTGAAATGTTTAAAATAATTTTATTTTTTATAGTTTATCACATAAAAATTAATACGTATAAATGATTTGGAACTGCTAAATTAATCAGAATTCATGTCTAAAATAAAAACTGAAATAAATTCCACCAAAATATTTAACAGTCGCTAAACATCCAAAATATTACACATTTCATTTTATGCTTACCTATAAGTAATTTAAAGATGTCAATTATATATAAATTATTTTAAAAAGAAACTACAGAACATATTGAAGAAATACTCTCCATTATATTTGGTTAGGTTATGTAAGGTTAACATATATACATAATATAYACAGTTAACTAAACGCTGCCGTACTGTGAAAGTATTTCCCGCGGTGTTGTCGATTCAAAAATGAAAAAAAAAWTAAGGTTAATTATGTTCAATATGTAATACGTTTTTTAGAAAAGGAAATATTTAATTTAAGAAAATTATTAATTTTGTTTATTATTATTTAATATTACATGTGTTTTTTTTTAATAAGATTTGATCACAAATAAAAATTATTGATTGAAATAATTTTCAATATAATATTTTATTATAGTGTTACCTACTTGTAACGTTAATTTTATTAATGGGTATTTTACCTACCCTGTTTTCTGTTTGGGTGTTCTTTCGTCACCTGTGGGGTGTTAAATCAATAAAGTACCAATTTTCCATCTGTGTTCAATTTTCATCATACAGATAGAGCTACATGAAACTTCTGGAACTGGAATATAATATTATTAAATAACTAAATATAAAAGTAATACATTACTACAAAACTAAAATCAGCCTAAAATTAAAACTTCAACAAATCTATAATTTTCACATTTATGTAGGTGCCAATAAAATAGGTATAATAATGTAAATCAAAAAGTAGGTAAGTATGTATTTAATATTATGTTATCAAAAATAAATGCACCCATTTTCGAGACAAATTATTTCTGACATCTATACGTTTATAATAGGTAATAAGATTAACATAATGACGTAATGATAAAAATAAGATAAATATTTTAATTATAATAAATTATAAAATTAAAATAATAGAATAGTTGTGTACTAATTCATTTGAAAAAAACATATAAAATATACAAATATCAATCTTAAAAATTCCTTATTTTTCTCAACATATTTTAAT